GGGGAGAGAAGCCGCCCACAGGACGAGCTGTGACGGCCGCACGGCGCCCTTGTTGCCATGGCGCCCTGTGCGGCCGCACGGCTCGCACACCCCTAAGGCCGGCCCTGCCAACATATAATCAGTATACGGCCATTTGGTGTTTGTTTCAACTAAGAATATTGGTATTCCCTATACTGCACTGTAATATGCAGATTTTCTTGCTTTTTTTACACAGACTATTGGATAATATAATTCACCCGCTGCACATAACATGACACAATGTACAGCTCACTTTGTCCTTACGGAAATCTTAATTGGGCCAAGAAACCTGATGAAGTGTGTGACTCTGGTGTTATATTATGTAACCGAAGAAAAAACAAACAGATGACTGGCCAAGTTTTCACGCTGAGGACCACAATAATATCTAAGCATCTCCCAGGACAATAACAGTACAGGAACGGCCCGGCACTCACAATCTCCGTCTTGGCGTCCTCCTTCAATTTCACCTTTGCCTTCTCCCACAGAAGCTGCCACCGCTCTGAACTCTGATTCAAGGCGCTCTCCAGTCTCTCGATTTCCTGAAATCAGAACGCACTGTCCTTAGCAAAAACTTCATCACATATCCGTCCCATAAAAATAGATTCTTTATGGATTTCCCTTCCCTGGGGACCCTTCAGATGACACCAGCAACGCGCCCAGCCAAGATTAACATTTGAGCCGTAGGAAGAAATGGCCTCTAGTGAGGAAGGACACTCGATCGGGGCGATGAAATAACATGCCCTTCACCCGACCTATTGTTCCGCAGTCAAGACGGGAATGTGATTTATGGGTTTTGTTGGGATACAGATGAGAAGGATGGAGTGCAAAGGTTCGTTTGGTCATGCAAGCGGTGGAAAATCACCGGGACGGGATCTGAAATGACAGTATTTCGAGTGCGGCTCTGCGAATGGAGAGTGGGAAAGCCAATTCTAAATGTGGTCATCATAAAACTCTCTGCCAGCTGGTGGTTGGCTATCGTGTCAGAGAACTGAGGGTCCAAAATTGGCACCTGTGGTGGTAATATGATGCAATCTCCAATCCCCCAACTACAGAGAAGCGGTCTGCTTTATGAATTTGGCAGGGGTAGCGTTAAGGTTTTGTCATTATTTACTAAGCCCAAGTAGTACATGGAATCTTATTTCTTGTTTTATGATAATTGGGACTCCACATGGGGCTGCAATTAAACTGTCACTACGAAGGAACGCCGAAAATCTCAGTAACATTTATTTTTATGACCCGGGGGAGTCTTTACTTGTTGAGGGTCATCAACTCCGATCTGAAATGCAAAAACAACTCACAAATACATTCGTCATAGTTCGTATGTCCTGACCAGACATCGGAGGACAGAAAACCAAAACGCACAAGTCCCTTTTATATAAGAAATAACTGATTCAGTGAGATTTCCCTCAACCACACACAGCGTCACGCACTGCCATTAAAGTTTACCTACCATGCTTGCAACAAAGTTTACTTTTACATTTTATTAAAAGCAAAAGTAAAGTTAAAACGTTCACGTGCAATTCTGTAGTTAGATAACAGATTCACTGCACACAAGAACATTCACATGGTATGTGTTGCCCTGTACAGAGTGAAGGGCCGGTTGTTGATTTGCCCGGAGCTGTGTGAGGAAGCATGCGGCGGGCAGCTCATGTAATGCTATGGAGAAGCCAGAGCTGCAAGCCCTCCCATGCTGCTTCCTACAGCCGCACACAGACGGTGCACGGACCTGGATACACCATGAGGAGAATTTATCAAAATCTGAAGCAGCTGTGCACGGCAACCAACCAGCTTCTCTCTTCAGTTTGTTCAGTTAAGATATGAAAATGAAAGAGAAGCCGATTGGTTGACATGTACGTCTGCTCCAGATTTTGTCTGCTCCAGTTTTGGTAAATTCCCCTCCATGTCTTCGTCCAAGGCCGTACACCGCCTGTGTACGTCTGTCAAAACTTGGAGGTGTGGGGTGCGCATCCCTATAGACTTATGTGAGCTGCCTGCATGCTTCTTCCTGCAGCTCCAAGCGCATGAAACAGCGGCCCATGACGATCTACAGAGCAACACTTCCCATGTGAATGAGGCCTTACTATAAGAATCAGGAGCTAAAGAAATATGGCAATTATGACACAATAATAATGAACAAACATTTTCAGGTGTCCCAGAAGCTTGCCATGTCTGTTTACACCCCCAGCTACTCTACTCCAGCCAAACAAATCAAGCAATTCCCTAATGCTGGCCATATAAACCGCTGACTTGAAATTCCACCAGTATATGCTGGAAAAAAAAACCCATTTGGCAAAAGTCTATTTTTCAAGAAATTTTTGTCGAAGGTCCGCCAATTTGCTGTCAGAATACAATAGTCGGGGGGGGGGGGGGGGTGGCGAGTGTGGTGTGGGTGGGGGTGTCAGGTCCAATACACTTTACTGGACGTGATGACTCACAGGCCCTTAGACTGTCGGAGCGGTGGAGGAGAGGGGACTGGTCTAACAAGTGGGGAGTGAGGATCAGGTTAGTTTATCGTCTCCCTGATATTTTAGCTCTCTAGACATATCAAGCACCTGACCCTCGCAGTGCCGGGAAGGGGGGGTTGTAGCCCCACTGAATTGTTTCATTTTTTTTCCGGCCAGAGCAGTTAGGTTTTTCAGTACAAACAAGTCACATACATCTGGTCAAGGATAAACTCTTGGCATCAACAACTGCCCAACCTACGTTCATAAGATGCGTTATCGCGTCCGGCTGTACTTTCCCGATGTTGTCGTAACACGGCCAGACCACTTTCCTTTTTCCTTGCTGAGATGTTTCTTCAACTTGCTCCTCGGGGGCGTGTAATCGAGAAGGGGATCCCGTCCAATCGTAGGGCGGTCCCGATGCCAACGTTTCCTCGGTGTAGTACTCCCACTTCCTTAGGGTGGAGATGTTGGCACTCGGCTTTAACGCCTGGAATGGGAATGAACAAAAATATACAAGTGAAACACGAACTGATAGTTCAAAGATTATCAAATGTAATGTAAATCAGCCTGTGATCCCCCCCCCTCAGCTTAATGGGCAGGCACCCCACTTTAAGGCAGATTTCAGTTTTCAGCTAGTGTGTGGCAGCTCCAACTAGAGAAAGATGATTGACATTTGAATGGAGCGATACGTCATCTCTTAGGCCTTATTACCTGTGTCTGGGGTTGTTCTATAAAACATTTATTTTGTCTGATGTGATCCCCGATAGACACCACCGCTCCCCCCATCTTATTCTTTACTTACCTCCAGCTTGCTTGGTGCGTATAAATAGTTGAAGAAAATGGGACTTTTCCTGTGCGCCCGCTCGATATATTCCCAGATACACATGCCTTTCCTCGTGTGTTTGTCTACCTTATCTTCAAACAGAGTGCCTTCAACAAGACAAGAAAGTTCAGCGTTAACATTAATCCGCCTTTCCTGGTTCCCCTCCTTCCCCCCATTAACATAATGAGATTTGTGCAGGGTGACTGGTCTTGTCCCTGCCCCCTCCTGTAATAAAGACCGCTCACTGCTGCTCTCTCTCCTTGTGCAGGGTGACTGGTCTTGTCTCCGCCCCCTCCTGTAATAAATACCGGTCACTGCTTCTCTCTCTCCTTGTGCAGGGGGACTGGTCATGTCTCTGCCCCCTCCTGTATTTACCTGCAAATGAAGCCTGTAGTAGGTGGGGCGCCTATTGCGTCCCTCCCACTGCTCTGCTCTCTCCCCTTGTGCAGGGAGACTGGTTTAGTCTCTGCCCCCTCCTGTAATAAAGACCGCTCACTGCTGCTCTCTCTCCTTGTGCAGGGAGACTGGCCTTGTCTCCGCCCCCTCCTGTAATAAATACAGCTCACTGCTGCGCTCTCTCCTTGTGCAGGGAGACTGGCCTTGTCTCCGCCCCCTCCTGTAATAAATACAGCTCACTGCTGCGCTCTCTCCTTGTGCAGGGAGACTGGCCTTGTCTCCGCCCCCTCCTGTAATAAAGACCGGTCACTGCTGCTCTCTCTCCTTGTGCAGGGTGACTGGTCTTGTCTCCGCCCCCTCCTGTAGTTTCCTATAGTGCCTGTGGCCTGCTGGGCCCCTCCCACAGCTCTTCTCCCTGCACAGGCTATGTAAGGCACATTGATATCACCATTGCTACTTTACAATGTAATATCGGATGTTTTTATCCTTTGTGGCTATTGAGGAATACATTGCAATAATAGTTTTTGTGCCGGGAGTTCCCTCTGATAAATGGTACATACATACTCATTTTTTCTTCATAGTTGGGAGTATAAACATTTTGCATTCACATAAAGTGGTTTTAATCCCCATGTGTATCCCCGTCACTTCACATTTCCAGTGTAAATAACAATTTAAATCCTGACAGTTCAGAACGACATTCATTATACAATAAAAACAAGAACTCGAGCTGAATTCTGGCCGATTTATAAACATTTCTAATTTTAGAGAACGAGTGTCATTAAGTTTTTGCATACAACGCCTCGCACGGGAATGAAAACGTGTTTCTAACAATTCTATAGAAATACTCAGAGACGTGATGCCAACCGGCTTCAAACTGTTTATTTTACTTTGTACGGCGTTTCCTTCTAGCCCGGTTTTAGCTTTTATTAGGTTATATGGCGACCCGAAAGATCGGGGTTCAGTAACATTCAGCACAGAGATTTTTGTGATTCTGTCACTCTTGATGCCCCCCCCAATTGATTGTTACCTCCATACGTCTGCCCTGATTGGCTGCGTGAGCCCTGAGCTAAAAGTTCTATGCAAGCTCTTGGTCTGTACTGGAGCTTACACAGGGCCAATGACCTTTCCCCCCACATCCAACCTGAGTGTTCTGGCCTGGCAAATGGCTGCCTATACGCCAAGCAAAGCATCATAGCAGGAAGAAGAGATGGTCTCATGCTCCCCCTTACCCAAAAGTAACAGGTACTTCTACAGGCTCTAGCAGGTAGGAAGCAGTGGGGTTAGGGATGGAGGAGGATGGGATA